ACACACACATACAGACACACACACAGCCCTGGCAGCAATAGATTATTAAGGATATGGACATGAGGCAGAGGAATATAATAAGAATCTTACCTCCAAAACCAATTCTTTTGCTGGCCCAGCATAAATTGTAATGTTAATATCATTAATGAAACTAATGGTTATTATGGCTGCAGCCCATATTTCCAAATGCCTCCATATTAGTATCAGTGCATGCTCTTTCATAGCTGCTCCACTAATTTAGCTGAATTGCTTCAATGTACAGTCCTGAGGCAGTAAAGCCTGCACTTTGTGCGACAGTAATGCCCATGGTTAATAGATTATACTTTTCTCTCTGAATTTAAAATGTTTGTTTCAGCAACATTAAAACAAATAAGAATTAATATTCAGTAGCCTCAGTGTCTAACAATAGCCTGATTTCCACTACAGAGCCAGACAATGTAAGTCAATGTGAGCTTTAAGTGCTATGGGATTGATGCACCTACTCTATGTAATTATGATCTGAATTTGAATTGGCCCTCGCAGAAATCTCTTGCTCATGCTTTGTAAAGGTGGCAGAAGTTACTCCCATGCTCCTCCTTTACTCACTGAGCCCCCAACAGGCGCTGGTGCTTTGCCTCCCAGTCATCCATTCAGGGATGTTGAAATGAGCTGCTGACTCCCTGACTGCGCTCTAGGCACTGGCAGAAGCTGGAGGGCACAGAATACGTCTCGCTGGTGTTATATGAATATGCCTCTTTTACTATATGGCACCTGTGTACTCTCAGCAGTCTTTGTGTGTGGCTTGCATTCTGCGCCTTGTGGGACAGTCACAAATATGTATAAGATTTTCATACATGACCTCTCCTATCCCGTGTCTGCCAGCTCAGTCCCCAGGCTTTGTATTCCCCTGAAGGCTTCATGCAGCTGCATCACTTTGCCTGTAGCTATTGTACCATCTCCCCCCGTGGCTGAAACGAAGCAGACTTTAGAAACCACATTGAAAACCTCCCGAGAAAACAAGTTGCCACTCAAAGTGATTTTCCCTCTCACCCTTGATACAGCTCCATGTTTTTACATCCAAAAATAGTCGCGCTGCCACTGTGATCAGAATAAGAAGCGGTTGAATGTGCTATTCACAGGGCGATACTTTTACTGATATCCTTTTTTTTTGTCTTCGTATGTTCTCTTGTGTATGTGTGCATCAGTTGAACCTGCTGAAGTGATTCTTTTGGGTTCATTCACGGCTGTTGAAGGACAGGAGCTGAACGTGGGCTGCTTCGCCTCCTCCAGTAATCCCCTGGTCCAGATTCGTTGGTGGCTTGGCTACAAGGAGCTCAACAACACTGTTGTCACTATGGAAGAGGTGAGACCGCACAGTATAAGAGATAACAATGCATAGATCTGCAGTAACTGAGCAGGTAGACACTATACACATGTTGGCCAGAGACGGTGTACACACTGGGTTGTAATTGGTGATCATGCTGGTCAGTAAAGATTCCAACAGAATGGCACTCAGTGGAGCACATACCTCTGCCAAGGCCCGATAGTCCCCTTAAAGTCAAGCCGCAGCATTTTATACTAACTCATAGATATCAGTTCCCTGAATATGCCTGATTTTTTTCATAAAGATTTATGAATTATTCCCTGGCAACTCTGTGAAAAAGCAACAAAAAAAGCCTTATCTTACAATGTTAACAAAAGAGATAAAAGATTCCTGGATTTTCTCCCTGATCTGGATCCACACTAAAATTTAAAGGGTTCTTCTCTGACCCATACCTCATCCACTAAGTTTTGTGGAAATTCGTCTTTTTGTTTTTGCATGATCTTGCTTACAATCAAACAACAAACCAATCAAACAAACCAACATCTAAATTAATTTACTGTGTGTGTGTGTTTCTGTTTCGTTTTTGTGAACAAGAAGTCACAAGAAATAATTTGCAAAAGCCTTTTGCTTCAATCAATGTTGCCTATAGGGAATCAACAAATACTATTGACTTATCTACCACTGAATTCAAAGAATCCTCCATAACAAATTTGACCTTCCTATATAGAAGAAAACACTGCGACATGAGCACGTACTGAATAGACCTGCTGCAGCTTACAAACAAATCACTGCTGATCCGAAAAGAGTCTCCTCTTTTGTGTATGTTAATAAGATCAAAGTGAATAAAAGCTGACACAGCAGATGAGCGTTATTAAACAAGCTCTTTATTCATCTGGCAGCAGCATTTTCATTTGATCTTACAGGAGGCACTCAGTGTGCTGTGTGTGAGCTATAATGCATCTGAAACAGTGTGAGGTTAATGAAGACTGACGCTCCCGTTCAGTGTGTCTGTTAGTCTATCTGTCTGTGGCTTTTACAGTAATCATCACAATAATGGCTTTAATAACCAGATGTGCTGCATAGGCATGACCACTATCAGGCAGGTGCAAAATTACGCTTTGCGTAATTTATGCAGCAGGATTCAGTTTCTGCAGCAGCTAATTTTCCTGTATTTGCCAAGACAAACCAGTGTGGGTTGTTTTTTTTTATCTCTTATTTTTTTCTCCTGAGCCTGACAATGGCTGTCCATTTCCTTTAGACTGAACTGTCATATGTGCTTTGTGTCTGTAGGGAGTCAATGGTGGGATGACAACCATGTCCAACATGACCCACCAGGTCTCCAGGGAGGAGGATGGGCTCAAGCTCACCTGTGAGGCCTTCAACAAGGGCACTTACTTCTCCAAGACCCAGATGACCAAACTCACTGTGTACTGTAAGTCAGCTCATTTCTAGTTTTTGAAACAGTTGTATTTTTAGCAGAAACAAATCAGGAGGGAGAATGAAAATACAATTTGGTACAATTTGTTTTTGCATGCTATCAAGAACCCATCCGTCATGGTTCAGGAGGAGTCAGTAGTAATTATAATTCTTCACAAATATAATCCTTGACACAGAATAAACAACTGTTTTCTCTTCCCGCTCTGTCATATTTGTTTGAGAGGAAATGTTTTCAGCACAAATTTTCAAATTGAAAATCTTAAGTATAACTGGTAATAACTGGGTTCATCTATTTTCTTCTTCTATGTTAACCATAACTAGCTTATATATTCTTACAAATTTAAAACCTTTTCGATAATTTTACAACAGATCCCCCTCAGAAGGTTTGGCTTGATGCACCTCCCCAAGATGTCCCCCTTCATGCAGGCACCAAAATTCGTCTCACCTGCTTCTCCACTGGAGGGAATCCCACTGGGGCTCTGACCTGGTTCAAGGTTAGTGTGTGTATTCAGTCTGTCCGTCTGTTTGTATGTGTGTGTTAGTTTGTCGAAACACGCTCACAATTGTCTTTTTAATGTCCAACCTGTTTTAGAATGGAAAGCCAGTGACTTATGCAATGAAGCAGACCTCCTTTGATCGGGGTGTGGCTCGAGAGCTGGTCCTGGTCCTGACAGCAAGTGACAACATGGCTACCTTCCGCTGTGATGCCACAAATGAGGCAAAGAAGACTGTCTCTGCCCACACGAAGCTTTCGGTTCAATGTAAGTCAGACCAGCTCAACACATGCAAACTAGAATAGCACACAGCCATGGCCCAACAGTCCCCTTACCAAACCAGACCCAGATTTTTATTTTGATCTGCACCAAATTGCAAACACTCATACATATCAGTCCCCTAAATGTGCCAGATTTTGTAATCAAGGTCTATGAATATTATAATAAACAAATATTTTTAAAAAAATGCAATCTTGCAATGTTAAAAAAATCCTGGCTCCGCACCAAAATGTATTGGTTCTTCCTTGGGTCATGTATTGTATGGCAATCGGTTGAGTAGTTTTTCCGTAATCTTGCTAAATAAGAAACAAACAAGTGTAGATGGAAACATGACCTCCTTGGCAGGGGTAACGACATATATTCTAGTTTAACTTGGCTGACAGAAAAAAGCACAATCAGATAAAAATATTTGACATACACGCAGATGTTTAGCCAAAGTATTTTAGTCTCTTCATGTTGTTACCTTTGAGTTTAAATAGTTTTATTTATTTATTTCACTGTTCTCCAGTTACAGCATTAAGTATGACGATCACAACCTCACAGGAGGAGCTTCGTCGGGGGCAGACGGTAACTCTGGATTGCCAGGCTGGAAGCAGTAACCCCAAGGCCAACATCTCCTGGAGCCTGGGCTTCCAAAGGTTTGTCTAGTCTGCAGGTGGAAAGGCCCATGATAGACAATGACAAAATGATGTGAGCTAATTCATTGTCAGAATGAGTCTGAATTACTGATGTTTATCCATTTAAACGCGGTAATATGCACGATTGTTTTGGTGAACTTTAATTCCCCAGCTGATTGGATTTGCTGGATGGGATTTGTGTGCTAGGTTCCAGGGAGTGGAGCAGCCACCCAGGGCGGCTCAGTATGGCGGCGTTTCAGTGCTCAGTTCTTTATCTCTGAATCTGAGTTCACAGCATCACAACCAGAAGGTCATTTGCCAGGCCTACAGCCCTGTGCTCGTCGAGGGGACCAACACATTCTTCAAACTCAACGTCCTTTGTAAGTAGAGGATGAATTGTTTTTTTTCCATTTCGTTCTGTCTAGGTTTGTTTGTTTCTTTCTTTGTCTCCTCCTGGCGAGTGACCAAGAGATGTGGTTTGCATAAATCTTAAACGATGCATAATGATGATCTATAATGCTGGAGATGTAAGCTGCTTTGCTGGGGTACTTTTGCACTGTGTTGCGTGTGTGTGGGTTTATTTTTTTTCTGTACTGGAAACCTTTGTTGTGATTTGTTGGTCTGTTGAGCTCTGCAGCAGTGTGTCCTAATTGTGCATTTGCTTTGCTGCATGGCCATGTTTGTCTTTGATGCCATTTCACAGACAGCAGCCAGCCACTGTTTCAAAGCTCGGTGCTGTGTATGAGCATGAAGGAATGTCACTGTGTGTTTGTGAGGAGCTGCAGTTGGACAACAATACTGTCACTCGTCATTTTAATGCCTGTCCCTCCTCCTCCCACGTCCCCTCACTCCCCCCTCGTCTTACTGTGTGAAGTTGGTTAGATCTGGAATTATTGGTGGGATGTCGACTTTCTACTGGTCTGACTCTCATTAGTGTCTCTTACTTCTTTCATGCTCAAAATGTTTTGTGTGTCTCTGCACTTGTGCTGGCCCTTTCTTTTTTGTCATTCTGTCGGCCTGAGTTTCTGCTCATGAATTTTTTTGCTGTAACTCCAACTTAGTGTCTCGGTGTTTGTGTGCCGTTTCTGTGCCAGACCCACCAGAGTTCAGCCCTCACCAGCCGACACACGTCCAGGTGGTGGAGGACGAAATGGCAGCCATTCCTCTGCTGGTCTCCGCTAACCCAGAGGAGGTCTCCTGTGTTTGGCTGCATCGCAAGGAGTTGCTGGTCAAAGGTGATCCAGGGCTGTGTGATGGCTCTATAAACCAGGTCCTAGTTGAGCTGAGCCAGCAAGTAAGCACTCAGCTCTGCCATTCAGGGTCTGAATAAAACATGGCAGGTTAGCCAGCATGGGACCCTGCCAAATGTGATTCTCATTATGGCTCTAATGTATGCAGTCTAAATGAGGATTGCTGTCTGCCTGAATACAACACAACGGTTCTAAACCTGGCTTCTCTTCCAGGCCGGTGTCATCAGGGCCCCGCAGCACCCACTCTCTTTCTCTGTTAACTCTGTAAGCTCCATCAAACGCCTGCGCCATAAGATGACTGTATCCTGAATGTAAAAAGCCACCTATTACATTCTGAGTGCTGCGGTACAGAAGGTGTCTCTAATGCAGCCTATTGTTGGCTTGATGTGGGAATCCAGCCAAGCCAATCAATAATGCAGGATTAGATGTCACTTAGAGACCAGTGGCCAGAGGACATGCGGTTGATGAGCATGTAATGAATACTTAATTTAACATCGGTTTGCATGTGTGTCCGTGTGTGTGTCTTTCCTTGTGGCTGTTTTTGTAAAGAGAGGAATCTGCGCTACCACTGGTCAGACGAGTATTCGCTGGAGATCAAGAATGTGACAAGGACAGATGCAGGAGTTTACACTGTCATGTGTGAAAATCAAGAGGGTCTCAACCAAACCTCCATCATGCTCGATGTTCAGTGTAAGATTCTGTACACAAAGAATGAAAGAGCAGACACACACATCTTTGTGCCCACACATGTCCTGATTTTGTCAGGTACTCTGCACTTCATGTCTAAGTAGGTATTCCATGTAAACAAAATAGATTTTATTATGATTGTCAATAACATTTTTACGACAAAGCAGTGAATACCCATACCTGTAGATTACCTTGAACTTGTGAAAGATAACATATTTCGCACCATGATTCCTTTTCTTTTCTCCTGTGTGTTTTTGTATTTACATTTGAAAGCTAGTATAGTATAGTATACAGCAGTTTCGAGGGAGTAAAGAAGCTATTCCAGATCACAGAAAATGAGAGAAATGGGAGAGAAAATATAGAAATGGTACCTTTTTATAATCATTACTTTTACTTGGCAGCAGTCCATTTATAATTCATGTTTTTCAGGTTCTAATATACCAGGTATACATTTAGGCCCTGTGGGTCAACTACATCATTTATCTCTGTTTAAGATTGTCTTCTTTTAAATGTTGAGAACGATCAAAGTTCTTTTTGCTAATAATTGGCTGATTTGTGCTTTGGATTTGATTCTGTAGCTTGCAAACAGAGTGTTTTTGAACATGTCTAAAGCTGTGAAGTAACACAACTGTCAGAGCATCCAAACACATTGACACACCCAGACAACAACATTGACTTTCAGCTCCTTCACAGTAAACATGCCTCATTCATTAGGCCTTCATGCAAGGCTGTGCACCTCCACTGTTGCCCGAGGCCCTGCCTGGAGCAGTAGGCCCACTGCCCCGATTCTGATGATTTAATAATGGAAGCGTTGAAAATGTAGGTCTGCCTGCTTTACCAAAGCCCATGGTACATGCCTAATGGATTTTGCTGCTCTGATATGACTGGACTTGACAGTTGTAGGTATTCATTATGCATGGAGGATTGTAGTAGCTTTTATGGGTGACGGTGTAGCCCACTTAACATTGTCGCTGTTGGTTAGCGGGCCAACAAGGGTGGATGCCACCCACCCGGAGGTCAGTGTCTCTCTTTTGTTTCCCACCACTGTTCTCCAAGTGTGAACACAGGTTTAGACAAGCAGGCACTAATGGCCTTATTGCTCTAAGTACATGGCACCCATGAGAAGTATTAAAAGCCTGTGAGGTAGAGGCGAACAAAGACAAGAGCAGGAGCCGTGCAGTCAGGGAGGAGAGATGATGATGGATAGATGGAGGGAGAGTGGAATCATGGGAGGGGGAATTGGTTAGCGTTTGTTAGCCCAGGGCCTTTGTGTGGGTCACATGGCCGATTCTCAGATTAGCTGCAAAAGCATCTGCAATGCCTCAACATATAGGAGGGTTAATGGCCTTGTATCTGAAACAGAGAGGCCAATTAAGATGTGGTTATGGAAACGTTCAAAGGGAAACGAGTATAAGAATAATTAAAGCAACGCTGCATGCCTGTTTAATGGTTTGGAGAATGACTTGCCCCAGGTTGGCATATTAACCTTTGGTCCTGCTTCAGCTCCATTCCCTTTTTCTTACTCTCAGATGCTCCGAGTGTAAAGGCAGAGAAAGAGCCAGTGTTTGTGAACATGGGGGAAACAGCCGACCTGATATGTGTGGCAGATGCCAACCCCATCACACCTGACATGTTCTCTTGGAAATGGCTGGTGAGAAACACAGAATGCAATCACCCCCTAGATTATATTTCCTTTATTTGTCTTCCTTTCTATTATTTTATCTCTTCTTACCATTTATCCACAGCCTTTTAAATGCATAGATGCACCATATTTCAGTAACTCTAACTACCCCTCCTCCCCACCTCTTCCTGCTCTGCACTCAACCCAAATCCAGAAAAATAGCTTTGATTACTGCCCTGCGACAAAAGGGCACATTTGTCAATGTGACATGGTCTCTGCATCTACTGATGCCTTCTCTGTTCTCACCCACCCTCTGGCAGTGCTGTGTCTCCCGCTCTCAACCTGTGCAGCCCTTCCTTTTCTCCTTCCCTGTGGCTCTTCAACCCGTGGCCTTATCCTTCTCTGTCATCTGAGCCTGTTCCCCCGGTGCCCTTCCCATCCCCAATCTCGAGCCCTGATGGTTTCCAGCTCGGCTCTCCCTCACTGTCTACCTGTCTCACTCTCGAACAGCCGCCCAAAACTCAAGCCCTCACCCAGGAGGATGGGAGTGTAGTATTGAGGGATTGCTGCTGTCGTCTGCTTATTGCTGCTCACTCTGTCTTCCACAGGGAGAGGGGGAGGTGGAGATGGGAGAGGAGACCCAGGAAGACGAATCAGGCCTTCTGACCATCCATGATGTGACTCGGGCTCATGCTGGTATTTACCAGTGCACAGCCAATAATGGCATAGAACCCCCTGCCAGAGTAGATGTGCAGCTGGTAGTGCAATGTGAGTGTATTTGTTCTCAGTGTCTGAGAGGGACATACACATGTTTTTTGGATCAATTATTCCCTGTGTACATGGTTTCTCAATGAATAACCTCCAATGCTTATTTTGCCTTGTGTAGTCAAACCAGAGCTTCAGAAAGGATCCCAGTGGAGGAAGGTAGGGAGCAGAGGGGATGGCACCACGACAGCTGAGGTTGTGTGTCAGGCAGACGGTATTCCTCGTGTCGACTTCTCCTGGGAAAAAAATGGCTTACGCATGGACTTTACAAACCCAAGGTCTGAAAGCAGACATTATTCCAATCTTCTCCTGCATTAACTCCGCTGCTACTGTCAGCATTTGGTTACATATTGAGGAATCCTCACAATTACATTAGATTCTACCCTAATGTAATATATTCTTTTGCCATTTCGTGCTATTTCACCATTAAATCCAGATTTAGTGCATTTTATACTTTGCTTTTCACTATGCAAATACCTGTTTAATGCTTCTTTGATGTGTGAAATTGGGTGAACTAGTGCAATCTGCAGGACATCACAATCCCTGCTGTCACCCGCTCAGGATTTATCTCTTACTCTGCTTCTCTGTTTGCGTGTGTGTGTGTGTGTGCGTGCATGTGTGCACTGCAGGTATGAGGAGCGGACCGTGAGGGAGGGCTCCTTCCATACCAGCACAGTTCGAGTAGTAAATGTGACTGCAGCTCATGACTATGCTGTCTTCAGCTGCACTGCTCTCAACGCACTCGGGGAAGACAAGCTAGACATCCAGCTCGTCAGCACAAGTATTTAAACATGTACATGTGTGTTTGTTCATATGTGCGTTCATGTGTGAGCTTGTTTTATATCCTGGTGGGCACAAAAATTAGCTCTTCATTGTCAACAACTGCTTATAAAAGGGGGTTTGGATGAGTTAAATCCACATCGCTTTAGAAAAGCGTTATGAGGGCCATAGGCATGTGGGGACCATGAGTGTTATAAAAAAATTAATTAGTCTGTCCTTTATTCAGGGTGGAGGTTAGGGTCAGGGGTAAAGGCTCATTTATACTGCCTTTACATTCAAAGAGAGATATTTCCAATGATGTTGCCGTCACTTTCAAAATACTGTACTTCCATGAGTCCTATTTGCCTGCATGGTTGTTAAACAATATATCCACTAGAGAGCAGCGCAGAGTCAAGAGTTTCAACAATAACAACAACATGGTACTTAATTTCCCTTCGGGGATGAATAAAGTTATCTATCTATCTACTGCTTTGTTTTGTCTGTTTGGTCCAAATCTGGAAGCTTTCAGAATACCTACATTAGAGCCTCTCAACTGTTTACTGAAGAAAAATTAGCCTCTGGGCGAGTGGCTCATATATTGGGGCTTCTGTTGACAGTGGATATCAGCAAGCGTGCTTTTCGCGCATGCGTGCCAGTCCTTGGGTTTCAAAGGCTGTCTTTACAACCCCCCTTTGTCAATGTCCTGCAAAAACCTTGTCTATCGAAAATGCCAACATTTCATGAGCTACGAAAAAGAATTCTTTCTCAGCCTTGCTGCAAAGCAGTTTTTCAGATAATGATGTCTCGAATAGTTTATTTAGTTTCAGATCGAGGAAAATGTTCCTCATTTCATAAAAGAATGGTTAATCCTTATGTTGAATTCACAAGTGGAATTTTTTTTCAACTAAATTAAATGAATTCTATCTTTTAACTTTTCTCTAGTAATACCGAAAAAACTATGAAACTCTAATTCTGAAGTTGCACAAAGCTAAAGCAGCTTTCATAGTTTTGTCATCTGGATAGCATACATGTACATATACACATATAGACTATATGCCTCATTCTCTCTAAAAACCAGCCAGGAAACAGGGTCTACACTACCTTAAAGATACCTCATGGCTTTGTCTGTCTCTGCTATAGCTTCTGTGGCAAACAACATACGACGAAAGAAAAACACTCTGCTAGGCACTGTTTCTTAGTCACGTTTATTCATTGCTGTTTGCTGTGTAACATAAATTAAAATATAAAAACATTACTTCATCCGTGAGCTGGATGATGTATGCAGTGAAGACAACAACTCCCATGATCTCACTCTACTTCACGACGACATCAAACTAGGCTTTCTGTTATTGTTTTGAGAGACCCCTAGTGGCCATATTGTTACATATTGTACGTTAAAGGGGATTGTGGACAAAGTCAAAATGTTGATAAAGACCCAGATCAGTGGTGTTAATGAACTAAACAAATTGTGAAATTTGAATTTATATTGGTACTCACAAAGCTATGAGCCTGCTCAGTTTGTACAAATTGTATTGGCTATTTGTTTTTTAAGCGTTTTTTCCCCTAGTGGTCAAATATCACCTAGGGCAGCTTTAAATAAATGGCATTTATCACAGTCTGTGGTTAGGCAACCCGACACATTGGAATTATGCATATCACCTACTTGGCAGGAGAGAACTCTTTTTTTTCTTCGGTTCTAATTTTGTAGCATCTTAAAATAATTGTTCAAGGTTCAACATCCTGTTCCAGCTACATAACAATAGTGTGGGAGTACTGTAAAACATGCTGAATCCTGTAAACTGGAGGGAGTTGCTGCTCCAGAGTATCAGGCTTTTAAGGGACTGTATTCTTTTTCTCTATCTCTACCTTATCACAGAGCCTATAGCACCATGTCACTTCTCCCTCAGATAAATGCTGCAGTGATACGCTCTGCTCTCCCAGCATTTTTAGACCTCTCTGCCTGCAAGCTGCCAGTGTACCCATACACTGCCACCATTATCAACACAGCCCTGCTCCAAGCAAAGGCCCACAGCCATCATTGGACACGTTTAATGTTTACTATAAAAAACATAAAATACAATCCCATATTGGCCCTGTTTTCCCCAGTCAGTTTTTTTAGTGCAGTGAATATTCATAATTAATCTGACGCAGTGATAATAAATTTTATATGCTTCCTTATCATTTTAGAGCCCAAGAGGAAGAGAGAGGGGGTTTTTTTCTTTTTTTCTAGCACTGTGCTTTTCGGATTTGAGATCCAAATAAGGCTGACCTCCTTGCCCTGAAATCTTATGAGAGGAGCTGATAGTGGGAATTATTTACTCTGCAAACTGGGCAGCAGCCTGGAGCCATGAGACGAGCGGAGCAGCCCCATCTTATGTAGCCGCTCAACTATCTCTTCTCCTTCTCTCCTTGACTATCTCTCTCTCTGCCCCCGAAACCACTCGTCTTTTTTTTCCATGCTCCAAATGCAAAATAATCCATTTTAGCTTCACTAGCCCGACTGGAGCAGTGCCTTGTGTCAGACTGAAGGCCTGTTTAGTGTCTTTTGATCTTTGCTCACAATATTGATAATAATCAAGAGGCTTCATCCCTCATTGCACGATGTTGGATGGATAAATTGGACAAATCAGACGCTTCTATTCTGAAGGGGATCAGCCATAGCTTTGCCCATGTTTCCTGATAATCCGTATAGTGCATCGTACAGAAAAAAGCAGATGAGGAGGGAAAAAAATGCTGCTGTCAAAGGCAGCCTGTGGAATTAACTATGATTAAAATGAGATCATTTGTTAAAAAACAAATAGCCTTTGGAGAGTCATTGACAAGTTTCTACCACAGTAATCATATTTTCCCCCTGACTTAATTTTATTCACTTTTTTCATTATTTATCATCAGTAATTAAAGTCAAACTCCTTCATTAATTTTACTGCACCCAAAATGTTTTTGTTGCTAAAATTAGTTTCATTGTTCCACCCACAAATATCGATCAAATCAACTCTGAGGCAAATGATCATAATTGTCCTCTGACACTTTTGTCTGATAAGAACTACAACGTCATCTTTCTGTGACAGTTCCTGTCTGTTTCATTTGAAGAGAACAGGATTGTGAAGGCACCCCTGGTGAAAAAAGTGACCAGTCAGATAAATCAGAAATAATCTTTCAAATAATTCTTCCTCCTCTTGTCTCTCCATCAAGAAGAACATCCGCTCACTTTCAGAAACATCATTTAAAACATCTCCAAAGCAGTGAGTGTGAAGCTGTAGGGGAGTCGCAGCCTGCTAGGCCAGCAGAGCCCCTGTGTGTCATTCCAACGACAGCGAATATAATCACCTGACTATCTCATGGCACACACCTCAATTCCTCAGCACCTAAAACCTTTTCAGACAGCGTCCCGTCGAGTGTCCACTCTGTCACAAAATCAAGATCACATTTTTCCTCTTTCCTTTTTTTTCCACCCTCCTCAAGGTCACCCAGATCCTCCCTCCTCATTTCGCCAAGTCACTGTTACCCACAACTCTGTCACTCTGGAGTGGATCCCTGGCTTCAATGGAGGCTTGCGGCAAAGATTTCGTGTAAGGTGAGATGTCAAGGAAAGATGTTGGTGAATGACTTAAACATGGTTTCTGCCAGGTCCTACAAATGTAAAATTTAATTACCTGAATTTAGGCCTAGAAAAGTCTTAAATATGCTAAAATGCCATGTGGTGGTTCTTAAATATGTTTAGATAGGTCTTAATTATGTTAATGTACATTTAACGCTTACAACTTTTTTGGCGGCATGCATAGTTTATAATCTGTGTGTTGTAGTTCTTTATTAATGATACAGAAATCAGCACGCTGTAATAAAACTACCAACAAGATAAACATGGAACTAGTAGCTAGCTCTACAAATACCTCAGTACACTCAGCTTGGCTTTTTGGATACCTGCTGTCTCTGTCTTTATCCATTTCCTCTACTTCTTCTATGTCACCTTTTCTTTAATTATGGAGAAGCATTAAAAAATCCTGGTACTCTGATCTTCCTTCATATCTGATGTACTTGGCATAGGTCTTTAATCAGATCCATTAAGGTCATAAAAAGTCTTAAACCCAACTTGTTAAAACCCTTTCACGAATATTCCCTGACAGTGTATCTTGGTCGACAGATACCGCTGGGATCAGTCCGTCAGTTTCCTGTACGTGGACGTCTTTCCTCCCAGAGCGACGACCTTCACTGTCACCGACCTGCAGGCGTCTACCACCTACAACTTCTCTGTCAATGCCCTCAATGCAATGGGGGAGAGTGGCTATGCTGACAACAATGCAGTACTGACCATCACCACCAAGGGTCAGTTTAGACTAACCCCCAGCCTGACTCTGAGAGGACTTTACTGTCCAGTATCAAATAGTTTAGAATAAATGTCTCATCTGCTTGTTGTGTTTAGAAGTGGTGGCTTGTAAGGTTTATTCATGTTTGTTCTGTCATCATAGCGAGGCCAGAAGTGGAGGAAATCCCAGCAGATGATGACTCAGTCTCACAGAGTAAGTCTTTTATCACAACTCTCTGAAGCAAGCTCTTAAGGCTAGCTGGAAATTGCTGTTTGCACAGCAGCTAGCTTCATTTGGCTAAATCATGTTAATGTATGCACCTCCAAGGCTATTAATGTTTGCTCTACCGGAGTAATGGTTGTCATGGCGCCCACCCATACTTTCTACCCGCTGCTAGGTTTAATCAATAAAGACAATTGAGGGAGTGGTTGGGTCTGTCTCACTTTGGTTTAATCTCCCAGAATTTCCATATTACTTTCATTCTAATGCATAGAGCTAATGTTTCTAATGTTTTTGTGAGCTATAGATGCAGGAGAGCTTCCAGTGTATTTGACCGTGGTCTTTACAGTGGTGTTTGGAGTCCTGCTGGTGTTGAACTCGCTGGGCTGCTTCTTTGGACACAGGTGGAAAAAGAGGCGAGGCCAGACAGGTAACCGTAACGACCTTGTTATCTATGGATTTCATCTTTCATCCTAGTGTTTCCCTGTCTTTATAATTTTCGGATTCTTCAACTACACTCTTGAGCGATTACTCTAAACCGCAATGCAACTGTCAGCGCAGTCTTTCACTCCCTCCTCATCTCTCCGTGTCCCTCTTTCCATCCATATATCCTGTCGCCTCTCCTTCTGCTCATCCTCTAAGCTTCCACCTCCTGCCACATTCATCCCTCAAAGCTTTCACTTCTCTATTTTGTCCACATCTTTTATCTCATTTGCTCGTTTTATGCCCTTATTCTACCTCTCATTCTGTCTCTTTCCACTTGTTCTTTAGTCTAACTTTTAACTTCTTCCTCTCAGTCGGTTATTTTTCATTCGTCACCTTCCTCTGCCCTCTGGTTTTTACAAAGATTTTTCACGACATACTTGTCTTTCGTTCACTCTTGCTCTCCATCATTTTTATTGCTCTGATCAATTTCGGTGCTTATGAGACGAGGCTGATGATCCTTTCTTTAAGTTCTAATTTCCCTACACCGCGTCTCTTTCCTCCTGTTTCTGTTCCTACTGTAGGGGGTGGAGGAGGGAGTGTATTGGATGGAAAGAAGAATGAGGAGGAGGAGTAAGTTAAAGCCCTGCGGTAGAAGTAATAGACACATCCAATCCACTCCACAGACTTAAGACTGAGACCTGATCCACTGGCTGACCCAGCTACTAAAACTGCCAGGCCAGCAAAACAACAAGCTTCTGTCAATATCCATTTATATTAGTGTCATCAAACTTGCACCACAATCCTGCAGTAAATGGGTGTAAATACCATGTGATACATTGTTATGAAGTACTTATCGTATGCAGGTAAAACATTTCACTGTGTGCCGCATCTCTGTTGCTTCATATTGAGGATTTATAGTTGAAATTAAATCAAATCAATGAATTTCAATTCAAATGGAATGGCAAAATCTTTCCATGTAGGTCCAGTCAGTCAACTATGAACAACTCCAACAAGTATGAGAGCAGAGAAAAGCTCAACGCCGCAGCCCAGCGCACCCTCCTCATCGAGTCTGGATCAGAAACAGACAGCAACGTCTATGAGAGTTACGCAGCGGTAAGAATGGGACAAAAAGGCACCGACTGGGGTGAGGGAAAGAGAAAAAAGCAATTGGGAGAGAGAAGATTGAGTAAACAGAATGGTGGGAGGTTAGGCAGAGGGTAAGGGGATCTGGCAGAAGAGGAAGCTGAGAATTCAGCCATAACAAGGAAAATGGAAATATAAACTAATGAAACCTTTAGCTGTGCACAGAGTCGGAACATAGATCAATACTTCACAATTAGCATTCAAAATACGCATCGATCGCTGAGAAATTATCATTTTGTACTTTAAAAAGGCCAACGAGGATTTGAACCTTGAAGAAAGCCGATCAGCGAGGTGAAAGAAAGCAGACGGCGCTGTGCTGCTGTCAGGGTGGGGTATAATGAAACCTCACATCCCCACAGAGAAAGGTTTTCTCTCATCCCTGATTTAATGATTGTGAATGGGGCATGGACCAAACTTAAAAGTCAAAGTACACACAAAATACATTTTTCTCATAGATAGTTTCTCTCATTATTTAATTAGTCATTTAATACTGTTAAAAATGGCGAGCATGTGTTTTGGCGGCACGTCGTGACCACGCCTCCAAATTACGTTATCAGCAAAGATGTCCGAGTTCATTTCTGAATAGGAAGAAGTGGAGACTCGTCCATCTTTATACAGAATCTATCCTCTGAATATTCTTAACTTCACTGTTTACCATTTTTATAGGGACTTTATCATCTGTCAAGTCTAAGTCCATTCTCCTTGATAGACTTGCTTTAAAGTCTATTCACCTCTATCATATTGGAGGAGAGGCAGAAATTCATCCCTCGTACCTCAGAGATATTTATCTAAAGCAAGGCAAATACAATCAAACCTATCTGTATGGTTCTACACGTTTAGAGGCGAGTCAGAGAGTAATTTGGGTGAACAGACCCTCCAGTAATTCACTGCAACCCCCTCTGCTCTGGAGTAATACGTGGAATTGTTGTTTACCTGAAGTTCAGTGAGGTTAAAGCTGATCTGATGCTATCTCCTCCTTTGCAATCATTTCAGGAAAGTTCCCACTTTTATTATTACCCCACCGTTGACTACATGCCAGCTCTCAGTCCGCACCCTGAGGAAACACAAAGGCACGGTGAGACACAAATACACTTAAGAGCAAACAAAGCAACAGTAAACACTTTATGTCTAAACTTTAGTCACTAAGGAAATGCGTCTTCCATTCAAAGTGTTTCTCCCTGTTGCTCTCCAAGAGGCCGCCCACCACCCCGTGTATGAAGATGTAAGAGACAGGGGTCTGTACCAGGAGATCACGGCGTCCTCTGCTCCTTCCTCATTCAACAACAGATTGCCTCATCAGTGGAACAATTGGAGATCATCAACAGACCATCAGGTCAGTAAACAAAGCTTCAGCTTATTTAATTTATGATTTACATTGTCAAGATCACACTCATGTAAACTTCAGTTACTGAGATGTTTTCTGTCTCTTAGCAGGGTGCTGAGAGAGCCAGGGATTCTGCAGATGTTCAACAACTGCAGCAAGTTTCTGATGTTCCCTTTGAACTGCGAGGCGAGTTGGTCTAGAGAGAGCAGGTCGGAGCAAACAAATACGCCTTGACACACTCGAGACCCCGTGGTAGTCATCAAGTACGGTGATGCAGAGCAGATATTCAGCACAATGTGATTTATTTTATCCTTTTTAGTCAGCGTCTCGAGAGTGACCTTGACTGAACCTGTGCATAGACCATAACAGAGGGAGAGAGGTTTGATGTGACAATGTCAGAAATTTCACAATGACTTTATGAACACTGAATGTTTTCCTCAGAGGTTTGAGTTCAGCTTTATTAAAGTATGGCAAACTGAACAGACTGAAAAGAAGCAAGGTAGAATGGCAGCATGATTTGAAAAAGAAAAAAAAAGATTTGAAAGTCTCAAATACGTCACACTATCCAGCTCATTTCCTCCTCCATCTCCTGCTTCCTGGACCTTGATCTGTTGTTTCACCTTTACCCTCTTTTTGGAGCCAAGTGCTCGTCATTACCCACAGCCCTCCCCCTCCCTGTTTGGCCTGCAGTTAGACATGAATCAGTTTTAGTCAGAAGAACATCACTGAGGCAGAAGCGGCGCATCGTGCAGCTCACAAAGCAAACCAAGCAAATATCATCATTTTTAAACCATCCCAACATTTTTCAACGTGCACCCACACGAGAACCTGACAACATCGCCCGTCCGTCCCCCTCGTGTGATACAAAGTTTCGGATCTCACGGTTAGTCCTTGGGAATCCTGACAACAGGATTGTACTGAGTGGTATTTAGCATGGTAATGTCTTCAGAAGGTAAAGCCATATCTCGGGCCACACTCTAATCCTGTTTTCTCTCAAATTGAAGTTCAGTTCGCAACATCAGCGAGAGAGAGGGAAACCATAGAGAGAATTTGTCTCAGTGGCTGTGGGCAGTCAGAGAGAGATAGAGGCAGGATGAGAGGGTTAGGCTAAGCTGCAGCTATGGTTACGGCTACAAAAACAAAATCTACTCTTCTTCGGTTTCAAGTAAAAAAAAGGGCAACAATGATTATCTCTATTGGTTAAAAACCAAAGTTGATTAACGCAAGACTGCAAATTGAAAACGATAAATTAAAAAAGCAAAAATGAAATCTAAGATTGGTCCTCGAGGCCGGAGGGTCCTGCAGTATTTTAGCTGTTCCTCATCAGATATCTCAGATGTTGTTCCTCTTCAAGTTTGGAGGTTACTGCCCCGATGTTGCTGCCGCTTTGGATCACTACATCTATCGCAATTGCATTTTTCGACCACCACGATTTCCTGTTGGTAATCCTTCCCCATTTTATCTGTCTATATCTGGTCGTCCCACAGGATTTGAGTTCATTCTGTCTATCATTCTTCCTGATGTACAACTGGATCTTTGTTTCATCCTGGACAGTGGCTCTGACGCTCACTCGTTCTTTACAGTCTCAGGGTGCTGGACTTAGGATGAAACCCTACACAGGATATACAGTGTATACATTGACACCAGCTGGAGAACACTCAGAGTACTGTAGTTCTACCTGTGTTATTTTAATAGGGTTTGTGTTCTCTGTGTTTTTGTGTAACTTCATCTTTTAGTGTCCAGAGATCAGAAACTTCCTCAATGTTTCCTTGGTCCTTTTAGCTTCCTGCTTCATTATTGGGTTCTTATTGCACACTGTTACGCACACGCCCTGCTTCTGCTTCCAGCTTCTGCTTTATCCTCCAGCACAACATTGGAGTCATGAGTACACACATGCACTCTTTACACTCAACACATACAACATTTTGTTCAATAAGAACCCGCTTCTTTTCTTATTGTGTCATTACTGCTATGGAAATATTTAATTACTTTGTGTGAGAGATGGCATTAAATCCTGATGAAGTTGTTAGGTCCACACATTTGTCTAACCTACAAAATTCTGTTTCCTCAATGGGGCCTGACTGCCTGGAGATAAATCTCAATGTTTCACTAGGCTGCGTTCTCTCAATTACACTCACTATTCTCCATCATGAGCTGTCAAGGTGTGTTTGTCTCATTACTGAGCAATTGTTTAAGTTCCTGTCAAGCCGACTGCTGCGTTCATACCAAAGACTGCTCATGATGCATCGTCTCGGATCAGGCGGGAGAGGTAATCTGCTAAACTGAAGGCTTGACAGCTCAATACTGTATGACAACTTCTATTTTTCCTCATCTGTGTCATGAACATCTTGTGTTAATATGTTGTGTTCATAAGAACCTGAAGGAAGCTCAAACACAGTGGCTGCATGAGTGTGCAATCACGTCAAAGAGAAACAAATGAGACTTTAATAACCTCAGCTCAGTTTCACTCCTCTCCTGGATGTTTTTTTTTAAAAACAGATACGAGATTGACTAATATCACTTTAACAGGTTATGCTACCAGTGGGGAGCTAACTCAAACTTAACTCGAATATCTGCGAACCGCTGTCATTGCTCTCGTTTTTCAGGTTTTTGTGTTTTAAAGTTTTGAAATCAGTTTTGAAATGATTTTACTGCCAGTTATTATGACTTATGTCCTGTTTTTTGCACTGAGGATGTGTCTTGCCCTTCAGTGTGGAAGAAAGACTGTTACAGAATAATTAACAGCAGTCAATGAAAAATAAGTGGGAGGCAAGAATGCTATGATTCTTTGGGTGACGTTACTCTCCTGGTTTAAAGCTAAATTCCTTTGTATTTTTATTTTTCAAAACCTGCTCTAACCTGGATGTATCTTTTATATTTACTATTGAAAAACTCCACTGCATGCCTGAATTATATTTCCAAATGTTTATCTATCTATATATAAATGTAAACCTGTATCCATGCACAAAATAATTACATTGCCAAAATAAATGGTGTTGACTTGTAAGTTGCCTGGCCAGAATATTGCATGTTCTCATGTCTGTGTTCTCGTGTCTGTGTGGGTATTCTCCAGACACTCATGTAGATTGTGGTTTGGTTAATCAGAGATTGAAATTGACTGTAGGTGTGAATATAAGAGAAACCGGTTGAGATAGTGATCAAAGGAAAAACAGATAAAAGTACAGATGTATGAAATGATATCTATAAATAGATTGTTGTGGCTCTAATCATTTCAGTGTTTAAACAGATTGTGATCGGTCACTAATTACTTCTGTCTGGGTACATTTCGGGTACATTATGTTGCAGGAATGTGATTTAAATGAGTCACCTCATTTTTTGTGTCTGAGACAATTCCAGTACAGAGGGTCAGGATGTAAGCAAACTATTTAAGATGTTTATTATAAAGTGTTGAATATTTGTTCAGAGAAAATTACTCGGGGACAAGCTGACTCAAAAGCGTCCTCGGCACTCTAGACAAAGACTGTCCTCTGAGAATGTGGATGAATTGCAGGCTTTGTCTGCTGTAACAGTCGTGGTTTGTGTTTCTCTGTGTGGTCATGCTGTTGTTTCACACACACACTCACACACAAACCAATCCTGCAGCCTTGAAGCCATAATTGAAAAAAATAAAACAAAAACCTAGATTTAACAGGTTGGTTATGTCGCCGAGTAACTGCACTACACCGCGGTGATGTGTCATGGAGTTAGGTGCGTTTCTTAAAAAGCAAGATGGACTTTTTAATGAGGTTTTAAAAAGCTCTCGAGTTCTTGGTGGCAGAACAGAAACCTACTGATGGAACTGAATTGCTTCTTTGGATGATATATATAAAGTCAAGAACAGAACTTCACAGCCACACATGCTGCACATCAGATCACCCCCAGTGTCAGTACATGCAATGGAAATTATCTAATAAGAATCTTCACCGTTAAAAAGAGGCTGTATAATTAATATATCCAATAACATGTGCAGCATTTTTGCAACGTTAACACATCAACAGTCTCCCATTATAATAAGGTAATACATGTTTGAGACATTGAGACAGCAACGTTGGAGATAGATGGCAGACGGACATGTGGATGGAAAGATTGTATAAACATGGAAATAGACAGGTCGACCAGACAGGATGACAGACAGGCAAACACGTGAGCACCAAACCACAGAGTGTGGTGTAATAAATACAGAAATAAAGAGGGAAGAGAAGCCATCATGCTGAGAGACAGCTCTCTCACACACACATACACACAGATGTTTGCAGAGATAGTGAGAATGAACAACAGAAAGGAGGAGGAGGAGGCCATGAGGAAGAGTGGGTGAGCGAAAGAATGAAACAAGAGTTCAGACAATTGGACGAGGAAGTCGGGATGATGACTCACTCATGGGTGTGGTTGGTGAGCAGTTCACCCGTCACACACGCACACGCAGAGGGAAGTACTGTGGACGATGGGGCTGCAGATTAATCTTTGGGCGGCCACACCTAACAGGATGGAGACTAAGGTAAAGCCTAACAGCCCGGACTAAATACCAGAGGGCCCGGGGGTGTTTTGGTGACTGAGAGGAGGAGATTGATGGAGGATGACAAGACAAACGGATGAACAGACAGATGTAGAGAGAGTGAGTGAGTGAGCTGGATGCGACAAACAGGCAGGGGGGTCAGGCCAGGAGAAGGGAGAGAGCGAGGGAGATGCCTGTACAGCCCAGGGGAAACAGGCCTCATCTTGACATATGCTCTGGAGTTAAATGTAGATTGGCAAGACCCGGCTAATCTGAGCTGTCACAGCTCATGACGGCCACAGACATTCACCTGTCACACTGCTGCGAGCCTGGAGGACGAGCTGCCACCAGGATAGGTCAAAGATCGATTCATTTTGTGCCGGGGGTGGATTTAAACAAGCCACCAGCCCAGACCTCCATCTGTTACCCCACCTGCCTTTGCTGTACCTGCTTGGCAGTTCTTATTTGCACTACTAAAAAATGTTTTACACAATATCGTGCAGGTAATTTTTCCTATATATTGTCTCGTTTCAAGCTGGGGTCAGTGTGTTGTGAGGGGGAGGAAGAAGTTTGTTTTTCCACTTTTTTCTTTTTTGGGGGGGGGGGCAGGTGCTGCTCACCGGCGCAGGATCTCCATTATGTTAAAAATAATTGTTTTGACACATCCTCCAATGTCATTTTTTAATTGGCGACAGTGGCAGCTTAAAAAAATGGGATGAAGTGTGATCAATAGTACCACAAAGCTCAAAACATGCTCGTGTGGGAGGATGGCGCTCGCAGTGTGCATCTTCACTCACTCTTTTTTTTTTTGACAAATGAAGACAGAAAAAAAACTGACTGTTTCAATATGTGTATCTTATATGGTTTGACATTCAAAGTGAGAATCAGTTTTCTGTCACGCTGCGTGTGTGGGTGCCTGCGTGCTTGAGGAGGAAGTGGCCACGTGGTGCTAACCTCAATGAGTGTGTCTTCCTATCGGCTGGATTTACAGTGAACAAAATGTTCCAGTTTTTCTGATTCTATAAAGTACCAGTGCCAGGCTATACTATTATAACATGGCTACAGAGACTGTGTATAAAGTGGCAGAGTGCTAATGAGCGAACGTTTCTTATCTGCTCCATCCTCTGCAGCATTTATATGATCCGTCTTTATTAACGGAGTAATGTGTGATGTCTATGCGCCTCTGGATTTCTTTGTCGATATTAGATAAAGTGGCTGAAGTCATTTCAGTCTTAGAGCCACAGGTTCTGTTCAAAATACAGACAGAGAGAGAGAGATATGACCAGGCCTTCCTCTTTCCACATCAGTATTTCACCTCCTCATCCTCATACGTTCTTCTTTCAGACACACTTGGCTTCCCTGACCGTCTTCCTGTTTGTCATGATTGAAGGTGAGTTAACAACCTGAACTAACTCGCAGAGAAATCACAAAGCGACACTAATGACCGGCCTCCTGGTCCACAAATCACTATACCAGCGTACGTCTGGGTCGGAGGAGCAGCCATAATCTCCTCTAAAACACACCACCGATGTTTGACAAGCCAAGATTTGAATCATTATAGCGTGATACTCAGGATCACCACAAAGACTCTTCAAACCATCTGGATGAAAAAATATTCAGAACAATGAAACACATTTTTCACCTCTGTTTGCAAATCAAGACAAAGATGGCAGCCCGCCAGTACCTGTAGGAAACAGGGTCATTACTTGGGATGAGAAGTGAAAATCTTTGTTATCGTGCAGTGGACAGACGATTTCTTTCTTTTATCCAGATGGTTGGCAGAGGCTTTGAGGATTCTGAAGATACTGTTAAAACAAGATGAAAATGTTTAAGAATGAAAAATGTGTGGGTTTTCTCTCAGAGACGCTTTACATCTGTAAACTAAACATATGTTATGAGCTTCAAGACAATAGAAGCTCCTATAGAAAAGCTGTATAAAAAGACTGTGCACTAGCTCGTAACACTGTGGTGTAATTTAACCAGTAGTTAAAGTAGAAATTAGGTCTGGGAAATAGAACAATATCAATAATTATCACATTTATTATTAACAGCAATACAACAAAAGTCCAATATTTATTGATATAGAGCTTAAAGATTGTGTAAACACGGTGAGGAGGTCTAACACATACTTGGTCCACTTCAGATTGATCAAATGTTTTGCTGTTTATCATAAAGAAGATTTTAAAACCTCAACTTTCACTCAGTGGGAAAAATCTGAAATAATAGAAAATGTATCATGATGATTACTACTCTTTGTCTTTTCCCCCTGAGGCCAGAGGGCAGAAACACATCAGTCCCTTGTAAAAGCCGAGATAGACCCTATAACAGCCTGGTAAATGTCTATATGACATTAAAAGGGTTATTTGGTGCCCCAGAGCTACAGAAAACATGAATCCACATTTT